GCTGTAGACACAGAATGCTTCAATTTCCTTTTTTGCTTCAGCTTTCTGAACTATTTTCTGTCTTTGTGGCCTTTGCTTTCGTCACTGAGTAATGAGTTTCAGGCAAGTGCTGTTTCCACGTAGCCTGGTCTGGAGTGGCCACGAGGAGCCCGGAGAGAGACCTTTGCCACGGGGTGGCAGCAGCACCGCAGGTACTTGCTGGGGCCAGCTCATTAGCACAGCATCCCCTGGGTTCCCACAGAGCCAGGGCCTGACCGCCTCTCTGGTTCCCCTTGGCAGGGAGGCAGAGGATGGAAGGGAGCCTAGCAGAAGGGGAGGTCACTGGCACACAGAGGGGCAGTTTTGTTCTCTGAGAGACTCAGGAGGAAGCTGGGTGGTCTCCTCAGAGTGTCAAATTGTGCCATGCACAAAACCGCCATGCAGTGCGGTGCTCCCGGGAGCCCAGCCTAACAAAAGCCCTCGGAGGAGACTGGCAGAGCTGCTGGTCCGCCCGGGCGCAGAGGCCCCGGCCCCTCCGTGAGGAGGCCCGAGGGTTTCTCATGATGCCGGTTTCCAGGGGCGACAGCCCCCCTCCCAGAAGATGTAGGTCTGCGGCCTCCTGGCCTCCTGGCCTCCGTCCTGCCCACAGATGGAGCTGGAAAACACTCCCCCCTTCTGCAGTGTCACCCCCACTCTCTTCCTCCTTCACTGAGCCGGTTTTGTTCTAAACATTTTAAGAATCTTTCTAAGTGCCAGAAACCGTGCTGGGGGTTTTCTGTTATCATCTGTTTCATTTTCCTTACATCCTCATGAAGACAGTATTCTCATATTCATTGAGGATGAGGAAGCTGAAGGTTAATCTCTCGTGCGTCAAGTTTAGTTGACCCCAGAAGCCCGCTGTGACACCTCTGCCAACGTGTAGAAGCCTGATACCAACATTGCTTTGAAGACTGCAGTCCCCCACATGTACAGATGAGGGCGCTGGACGACCAGGTCAAGGAACCACAGGTGGTTAAAACCAAGTGAGAGACTAAACCTCCTTTTCCCCTAAGTCTGCTTTCCACTTGACCTGTCCAGTGAAGCTGTTCTAGAACTGCCATTACCACGAAGTCAATGGATTACGTTCCAGGGTTGACGAAGACGATCCTGGGACCCTGGGGAAACTGCTCGAGGATTCAGGTGTAACAAGTGTGGATTCAGCCCAGTGCTGCGGACAAGTTTAGGTTCCACCACCACTCTGAAGCCGAAGGCCTTGGGTTTTAGGACACACGCAGCTAGTTTTAGTCTACTTGTGTTAGTTTTCTAATTCCCACATGGACTTTCTCCAGTTTGTTTTCTACCTCTTTGGCAAATAGCTCATCATCAACTTAAATGAAACAATGCTTCACAGAGGCCCTGTGGTGCCAAGGCAGTGGGATTTGGTGACAGAATCTTTAAGTGCTAAGTTCTCCCCAGGGCAGACTCATCATCAGTTCCTTTAGTGGCTTAGCTGACTTCCTGGATGGTCTTTATTTTCTCCTGCAGTGTCTGTAAACTCCAGGCTGGCTGCCTTCAGGCCTTCTTAGGATCCCCTGAACCTGCAGAGTTGAAAAAGTCATCTGACACCATCTTCTCTGAGGCTCACTGCTATCTTTAACATGCGCATGTGCAATTATTGGGAAACAGTTTATGATTTTTAGGGGCATATTTTGTCCTTCTGCAGTATCAGTTGGGCCCTGCTTTTCATATGCTTCAGCCTGGGTTTAAAGAAGGGGCTTTTGTAGGAATGATGCCCATCCACAGATGGGGAAGTTCCCTGAAAAAACCTTTGAGAAATGCCTCATTCCCAAGTTTACAATGACTGCAAAGTGATGGCCTTTGAATAGCTCAATATGAAAAAAATATGGGTGCTTTCCTAAAAGGAGCACCCCAAATGAAAAAAATGTGTTCACCAGTGGAAAACAGTATGTGGATGCCAAATTTTTCAGCCCTGTAATGGATTACAGAAAATATTTTGTTGGGGGGGGGGGGGGAGCGGGTGGTGGTCAGGAGGAAGGATTGAGAAAAAGAAAGGAGAGAAAAAAGGAATGAGAAGAAAAGAAAAACAGATGTGAATCTTAAAATATTTCAAGCATGGATAGCTGAAGTACTGTTTAATTTATTTAAGACTATTCTGTGAAGTCTAAAAGGTGATTGATCAGGCTTTTAAAATGCAGCCACAAGATTTACAATCATGTAATGAGTGATAATGTCCCCAAAGCAAATAAATAGTGGGAAATATCCCAGGTCTGGACTGCCTTTTAAAGCGTGTTGTTTGTAGAGAGAAATTAAAGTTAGGATGATTATTTTTAGTAATCACACAAACTTTTATCTGTAGTATCACTTCATTGAGGCAAACATAAACTGTCTTGAATTCTTCATTTCATTTGTATGTAGGGTTATTAGATTCACAAATAAAATTACAGGTTACCCCATGCAATATTTGTGATGTACCCCCACTAAAACATTGTTATTTAATACTTCTACTAAGACATTGTTACTTTTAATTGGGCGTCTTTTATTTTATCCGACCACCCTACTTGTGTGTGCAGATTCAGTAGAAGTGACTTTCCAAATTGAAGGTTGAGACAAAGAGTTCTGTGGTCATGATGAGGAAAGATCAGCTGGAAAATGTTACCATCACGCTTTCCGAGTTCCTTTCTGTGCCTGGGAAGCATAAGTGACGGAAAAGGAAGATGAGAATTCAGAACAGGATGGCAAAAAAGGCGTTGGGAGGGGAGAGAGGCAGGACACACGGAGACCAAAAGGAGAATACCCAGAAAGGAAGGGGTCCCTGGGGGAGAGGCTATTGGAGAAGCAGAAAGACTAGAGCGAAAACAGAAATGGGGGCATTGAAAACTTTTAAGCAGCTGGATGACTTTCTTATACTTATCCTCCCTCTGCTCTGTAGACCTTGGAATTCCTTAGGTGCTTATCCAAGCAAGTTCTAAGAGGAAGTTCAGTCCTTACCCCCCACCCCCCGCCGTCCCGCAAAGAGCTCCGGGCTCCCCCTGTTGGCTGTCTTGGGTATCGCTCCCCCCAGCCCGGGCCTCTTATAACCCAGAGATTTCTCATCTCCCACTTTCCCTCTTAACAAGCTCCCCATCAGCTTCCTTCGCTCTTCCTGCCTTGCTCTTTTTATGTCGGTTTATTTATTCATTCGGAGCCTGCTTTCGACGTGACACCTCCCAACTGTTCTGGCGCCCGGGAACAGGCCACACAGAGCTGGTCATTGTTGCCCCAGCTCGGGGGACCACCCGGGTGGGAGCTGAGGCTGCGAGCCCGTGGCGGAGGCCGGATGATTGACAGCAGCCTCGGGTCAAGTGCCCCGAGGCGGCCCGGAAAGAGGGCTCCCGGCCCCCAACGCCCCCCCCCCTTCCTCCACCCTCCCCCCCACCCTCCCCACCGCCCCGCAGGACGCTCCTCACTCGGCTCCCAAGGAAATGAACCCTTCCTCTAAGCTCCCTTCAGACCCACGCAATTAGCAGCACGAAAATCCCTGTTTTCAACGTGGTGCCTATGAATAAAGACAACAAAAAAGGATTTTACTTGGAGAGTGAGACTTTTTTAACTTGGGAAAGGGAATCCTGCTTGGGGCAAGACAGTGGTGCTGAAAGGATAAATATGAGAAAGGGAACACACAGCCCCCCCCCCCCCCCCAGCTTCTCAAAGTGTAGGATTTAAAAACTTTGTTAGAAATGTATTTACTTATCAGAAACATTTTTAAGAAGTTCACCTGAAAAATGTTCAGTTATATTGTGAACAGATCTGTGACGACCACGCCTAACGATCTATGTTTTCCTTCCCCATCATCTTCTGCATCCCCACCCCACCCCGCCCCCCAAAACGGGCCATACAGTCACACCTTGACCGAGCTGCTATGTCTCCACAGACCTCCCACAGGAGGATGACCAGCTTCTCAGGCTTGCACTCTGGAAAGGGTGCAAAACCCAGCTTAGACTGCAGAAGTGAGAAAAAGCCTGGTGATTGCAGCAGGAAGCATTTCCTAGTACTGGATTGATCTTTTGTGGCACTTCCCTGAATGCTTCTGTGCCCAGAATGTCCTCACACATGTCCAGATATGGGTCCCCTCAAGGTGGCCAGCGCTGGTTTGGTTCCCTGGGGCTGTGAACCTCCCAAATCAGCTATGTGAATACCACAGATGCCTTGAAATAAGTTAGGATGTATTATTGATCAAACGCTGATTTGTAAATTTTTTGGTCAAAAGAGGCTTCAGAGAAACAGATGGAAATTAAAGTTTCTACCCCAGAAAAAAGAAAATGCACAAAGCCTTCCCTACAATTTCAAGGGCTATGCAAACCCACTGAGGTCTTCACATGGAAACCCATGACCCAAGGGTTTCCAGACCCTACTTAAGAGCCTCTCCTCTGACTGTTACCTACAGGTAGAGGGTCACATTTAAGAGTCTCCAGACACAACCTCAACCTGGGCATTCCATAATACTGTCTGCCAATTTTTTTTTTTTTTTTTATTAAAAAGCCCGAGGGGGAAAATGCAGTAGTCCACAAGCTGTTCTTTATGAAAAGAAGGGTTTACTAGCACGGGGGCTGCTTCTGAAACATCCCTTGAGATCTTATTCAGCTCTTTTCACAAATGGCAGCAGTAATCACATAGATAAATCTACCTAATTTGAAGGCCAGGCAGGAAATTACTTTTTGGGGAGAATCAACGGTGGCATTACACTTTTCTAATCCCCACGTGGAAATGATTCAATTTCTCTGAGAAATTTATGTGGACAAGTAAGGGCGGGCTGTTACTGCAAAATGCTTCCCTCACCAAGCCTAGTTCTAGGACTTGGGCGGGAGAGCAGGCGTCCTTCCTCATTTTCTTGTGACTGGCTCCCCCAGCTGGTCCTCCCAAGCTTTTGCCTAGTAAAAACCTACAGAGATCTGGAGGGGATCCCTTCCCGGCATTGGCCTGAGCTTACTGCAATACTTCCATGAATGGGAACTTTATGGGAATAACAACAACATACAAAATTATAATGTAAAACTATTTTTTTTTTCTTTATTGAAAATACATCTACAAAGTAATGTTTCTCAGTCCACACAGGGTGCATGTTATATGCAGAGCCTGTGATGGGCTGGCGAGAGGATCGTCCTAGAGGATTGACTTTCCATAAGAAATGGTTAGTATTAAAAAAAAAAGATCACACGGCGTAACAGAATTAATTTGACATGATTAATTTTTGCTCTACTGGTGTCGTGAGACGACAGCCATGTACATTAACCTTCAGAGTGTATCTCCCAAATAAGGCCTTGGCATTAAATGGTTATTCCACCACAGCCTAACGTTAACTTTTGTACACACGTGATGCTCACGATCTCTAGAAAAAATGTCTCTAACTGTATATCAGAGGGTGTATGTCTAGATATCCAGTCTGTTAGCATAATTAAACCCATTCTTCACCATTTTCGGTCAGAGACTCAAACACAGCTGGTATTGTCTGACAGTTCCCACTTCATGTCTTTGACTGAATGAATACTCCTTAGGGGGTAAAAAATTAATCTCCTCTAAACCTGGGAGCTGCCTCGCCTGAAACTAATGCCCCTGCTGTTTTTTTCTTGGAACCCCATTGACCGTGTCTTTATACTGATTCATCTTCTACCATTTCTCTCAGGGACACAAACAAAATAAAACCAAACCCCACTCCGGCCGAAGGGTTTGAATGACTTGGTATGTGGAATTCTTACACAAAGAAATATCTTGTTTCTCTTATTCTAAGAACTTCTGATTATAGGCAAAAACAAATAAGAGACCACCCACCCAGCTCACGGACCTCTATTAGAGAGAGAGCTCATTCATTTGACTTCTTTATATATAAGAAGTGACCTCATATTTTCATATGTGGACCTCCTTGGGGGATGATTTTGAACTGAAGAGACAAAGTGTTTCAGGTTAAAAAAAAAAAAAAAGAACCTCTCCTTTTAAATTCTTCCTTAAAGATCATCTATAAATCTTGGTGTCTCAAAATCCCCTGTGTAACGTCAACCATGCTCCATTCTTTCCTACCTGGCTCTTTAGTGTTCCATAGTAAGACTATGAGCATGCCTGCTAGTTGCTAGTCTTACATTTTACTTCCTAAAAGTCCATAGTCAGTTGAGGAGTGGTGGGAGACATCCTGCCCAGAGAAGTACCTTCGGTTTGGGAAGAATAGGAAAGAAGGGCCTATTTCCCGTACTGGGAAGGACCGAGCAGAGTTTCGTGAATAATTCCGCTCCCGAAATGGCCTCCAGCCTGGTGACTTGCATGACTGATATTCTGGCCACAGGACCTGGTTAAACCGCACAGCCATCCGTCCCCTACTTAGAAATGTTCATTCCTAGTAAACGTCCTTTCTGAAAGTCCCATGGTCCATGGAATCATACCTGCTTGGGACAGGATGTTCCAAGGGAAAATAGAGGGGAGGCTCTTCGTGATGTCACAGGATGTTTGGGCTAGAAGAGACCATAAAGGCATCTGGGGAACTCATTTGATTTTACGGATGAGAACACTGAGGCCTAGAGGAGATGTAATGTGCCCATGGCCACATGGAAATTTCACTTTTATGTGCCTCCTCACAGGTGCACTAGGTGAGTATTCATATTGTCTTGCGATTAATAAAATCAAAACACAAATCGGCAGAGAAAGGGGAACAAACCCTTCTACTGTCCCATTTGATAACCGATTGTGGTTTATCAAGTTGTTTTGTTTTGATACTAAAACTGAATTGTATTCTGAAGGATTTTTAAACTTTGCAGGTTGATTTAAAAGCATGTTTTAGCCTACTATTTGTTTGACTCTCTACCTTATAAAAGAACCACATTTACAGTTTTGTGTGCCACATAAACTTGTAAGATCTGATCCGACTCGCAAAATCCTCCCTTGTTTTTGGATGAATACTTCCCAATCCTATCAGTGTATTAACGCAGGACAAGGGAGGTAAGGGGCTTACTGGACAGAATGAGTTGTAACGAGATGGAAACATTTTACAATGGTTTGCAAACACCTGCTGCTCAAGAAAGCATTTTGTGTGTTAGTCTACATCTTGGTTTCACTGTCCATGGGTTTCTCACTTTCGCTTTCCTGGGCAATCAGCTGATAGGGTTTCTTCATTTCATTCTCTTCGATGACCGAGTTACCCATTTCTACGTCTCGGTTCTTCAGTTCGTGTCTTGACAAGTGCTCCACAATGCCGGCTCCAAGAGAATCTCCCAGCACGTTGGTGGTGGTGCGTAGGCGGTCCCTGGGGGTGTGGGTGTGGGGGAGGAAAAATGGGGCTCCTGTGAACATCATGTGATCTCAGCTCATATTGTGAACTGGCTGCTAAGTCTTTAGAGGCATCTTTTTAAAATTCTGCTTGGTGTATCCACCAATTGCAACATCACATAATACACATAATATTTATAATAGTAGTTACTAAAAGTTATAAGGATATATAGATTACCAATCTTCAGTTACTAGTTCCAGTCCTAACGGTGGGTAATGACCCTTCCTATTCCCCTTTTATTTAAAACTTCTCGTTGCCTCTCTTTCCTACAATTCACCTTCCTTTATATCTGCAGTTCTCAAAGTGTGATCCAGAGACCCCTGGGGGTGCCTGTGGTCAAAACTATTTTATTTTATTTTTTAATGTTTATTTATTTTTGAGAGAGACAGAGAGAGAGGAGAGCACAAACAGGGAGGGGCAGAGACAGAGGGGGACAGAGGATCCGAAAACAGGCTCTGTGCTGACAGCAGTGAGCCCGATTTGGGGCTCAAACTCACCCACCATGAAATCATGACCTGAGCCCACCCAGATGCTTAACCAACTGAGCCACCCAGATGCTCCAAAACTATTTTCGTGATAATGCTAGATGTTATTTGCCCTTTTTTGTTCCATTTTTTCATGAAAGCCTAGTGGGGTTTTGTAAAGACTACAACATAACACAAAAGATACCACAGCAGATTCAATGCAGAAGCAGTTAGGAGACCTCAGCTGTCTTGCATTAAGCCAGACACTAAGGAGATTTCCAAAAATAAAATAAAAGGGTATCATTCTTTTCCCAAAATTTTTAGTTTGGTAAATGACATTTTTTTGCAAAAATATTATTTATGTTAAGATGTAATGAGTTTATTATTATAACCTTTAAATGAATTTAGCACTTAAAAATGTCTGTTTTCGGGGCGCCCGGGGGGCTCAGTCAGTTAAGCATCCAACTTCAGCTCAGGTCATGATCTCATGGTCTATGACTTCAAGCCCCGAGTCAGGCTCTGTGCGGACAGCTCAGGGCCTGGAGGCTGCTTTGGATTCTATGTCTCCCTCTCTCTCCGCCCCTCCTCCGCTCGCACTCTGTCTCTCTCTCTCAAAAATAAAATAAAAGCATAAAAAATTAAAAAACTGTCTGTTTTCCTAATATGATTAATATTGATAGAATCCATATAGATAAAAACTTTTGGGATCCTCAGTAGTTTTTAAGTATGAAGGGGTCCTGAGGCTAAAGCTTTGAGAATCACAGTTTTACACTATAAAAGTCCTCAAGGAGTTGAGTGCCAACCGTGGGCCCAACAGTGGGCTGAATGCTTTCCGTGCGTCATTGCAGTTAATCCTCGCAGCCCCAGGGGGTGGTGGATGGCCTTATCATCTCCATTTTATAGAGGTGGAAACTGGGGTGGCTGGTGAGGCTGCCCAATGTCACACCGGGCTGGGATGCAAACAGATCCAAGGGACTGTGGGACTCATGCTCTCAACTGTCTACCCTGCTGCCACCTATCGTGCCTTGAGCACACCCGTCAGCTCCTCGTGACCCTTCTAGTGAAGACAACATACAGTTGACTCCAGCATCTACTGTGTCCTTCTAGGCATCGGCTTTGGGCAGCCTGTGAAAAGATGTTTTTGCAACGGAAAGGGAATTTATGAGAGAAAAGAGGCAGATAATGTCAGCTGGAAGGGTGAGGGGAACATGAGAGAGGGCTGGGCCCCCCAAATTAGGGTCTGAGGGGATGGGGGGTGCCTTTTCCCCAGAGCCAAAAGTCATTTCTGCTTCACTAGTTCTCCCACTGCACGGCTGCCCCTCTCCCCGCTGGGTTCAGGCGCGCACATCTGTGCTGCATTACGCCATTGGAATGGGAAGCACAAGGAAAAGGGCCTGAGCCAGTGTGTGGGGCCTGTAGTTCTGTTCTCACCACCACGAGGACGTGTTGTGCAATTCAGAAAATGCCTTGCTGATTTATGTCGGCTTTCAGACAGCCGGTTTCCCAATCGCCGGATGGCTTTATGGAGTGAGAAGTGTAGTTGCCAGATGTGCCCCCTGGGCTGATAAGGGAGCGAGAGCGCTTGGCGTCTGGGACTTGGCCTCCAGATAAGGGCAGGGACCAGGCGGTGAGGACAATTCAATTACACGCCAAGCTGCCCCTGCTCTTGGAGCCCTTTTGGCGGGAGTGCCCAGCTGCCAGGTTCCTAAGGAAGACAGAGGGGGTCCCTGCGACAGCAAGCCGGGAGGCAGTCGGAGCATACTCACAGAAACCAGTCCACGGCGATGATGAGCGTGATGTCGTCGGTGGGCAGGCCCACGGATGTCAGCACGATGACCATGGTGACCAGGCCCGCCTGAGGAATCCCAGCTGCCCCGATACTGGCGGCTGTGGCTGTGATGCTGTTAAAAGAATTCCCCAAACGTAAAACATTTGTACACATCTCCCCAAATGATAGGCCCCGGAAAAACCATGCACAGCGGCGATGTCTGACTTGCCAAGTTAACAGAAGAGGACGTGCTTTAGAAAACTTTAGATGAGAGTGTAAAAAACCCGCGGAGCTAACAATAACGTTAACCAGTATTTATGAAGAGGTTCTTTTTTTTTTAAATTTTATTTTACTTTTAACATTTATTTATTTTTGAGACAGAGAGAGACAGAGCATGAACGGGGAGGGTCAGAGAGAGAGGGAGTCACAGAATCCGAAGCAGGCTCCAGGCTCCGAGCTGTCAGCACAGAGCCCGACACGGGGCTTGAACTCACAGACGGTGAGATCATGACCTGAGCCGAAGTTGGACGCTTAACCGACTGAGCCACCCAGGCGCCCCTACTACAGCCATTTTTAAATGAAGAAATTGGTAGCTATGTACTTTTGCACATACCTGAAAACATTTTCCAAGGTCTAAAAGACTGCATAGTTACAATAACAATTTGTTTCCAATAATTCTGTCCAAGTAGAGGATTGTAAAGCTACTGAACTTGTAAGGTTAATGTGGTCAGAAAAAACAAATCAAAGTTATTAATGCAAAAGCAAATGATTTATGAACAAAGTTCTGTATGACTATAAATCTTTTTTATGGAGGCAGCGTAGACCTGATTTGTAAGGCATACAACCTGTCTAGGACTCTGTTAAATACCTATTTGATTCAGGCTGATGTGACACTATGGAAAATGTTTTATAAATAGTAAAGTATTACCTAGATATAAAGTGGAATTAATGAAGCAGTACGTCTGTGGAGGAGACTATATGGTTCCCTCATATTGTCCCTCTTCTGTGGTACTAGAGTATTTAGTTGGTAAATGGCTGTTCAGAATGAAGACTACGTTTCCCAGCCTCCCTTGGAGCTTAAGTTCTGGCCAATGAAATATGGATGAAAGTGACCAAGTACCTTGCATGCTATGCCCTCCTCCTCTTCCCAGTGGCTAAGATTTGGAGGTGATGATAAGCCATCCTGGACCACTTGGATGAGGGTGACACCCCAGAGACGATGGAAACGACACCCCAGTCCCTTACACTGTAAAACACCTACCAGCCTTGAGGGCTTTGTGGAACAGAGCTGTTCCACATGAGGAAAAAATGCAGTTCTGTCTTGAAGTCACTCTTATTGTTATTATTATTTTTTTACTCTGCCACATGCAACTGAACCTTTGTTTATAACTCAGGGATTTTCAACAAGTATACCAGAGTATGCCCAAGAATAGGTTATGGTGAGCTGAGATACTGACCTCCCAGTCCCAGTGTGGTCAGACTGTGCTCAGGCCTCCCAGAACACCCAGGCCACTCACTTCTGGCCATGATCGGCCTCATTTTTTAATCATCACGCATCCTACGACTATTATTATTTTCCAGTAACTCAAAACATATATATGGAGTCTAACATAACTTATTTCCAAATAAACATATGTGTACACACACACAAAAGGTGGGGGAATTGAGAGATTGAAAACAGACTAAAATGACATAAAAACCAAATGCAAGCCATAGATATGGATTATATTGTGGTCTAGGGGAAAAAGCTACACAAGATATTTTTGGGGCAACTGGGGAAATTTGGATACAGAGTGGGTATTCTGGAAGTATTTTAAAGATTCCTACTATTGTGGTTATGTAGAAAATGACTCTTATTCTCAGGAGATCTATGTTGGACTCTGTATATGTGAAATGTAATGAAGGCAGAGAAAGAGGCAAAAAATGGTAAAATGTTAATCGTTGGATTTGGGTAGATGTCTGTCATCATTTTATTTCAACTTTCCCATTTGTAAGAGAGTTTTTATAATGAAAAGTGAAAAAAACTATTTTGATATCCAAAACAAATTGCTGATAATAATTCACACACGCACACACACACACACACACACACACACACACACACTGAAGAGGAGGGTCTGATCTGGATTGTGAGTCTCTCTTGCAGTCACTTATTGGTCTGTTGTGCATAACTGACTGTCAATGAGTAAAAATGGGGGGTTACAATCACATATGCACGTGGATATGCATGGGCTAGTGCCAGAAGAATATAAAAGAAATTAGCAAGCCACAGTGGTTGCCTCTGGAGAAGGAAGCTAAAAAATTAGGGGAAGGCACGGAAAGGAAAATTACCTTTCACCAGATACCTCAAATGCAATAGTTAAAAAATAGTCCACGGAAATAAAATTCTCAATCTATTTGTCCATGTGGCCTCTCCTCTATTTTATAGTGCCTAAAAATTAACCCAAGAGAAAATGTTAATCCAGTTTTTCAAGTGTATTTTTTTAATACTGTCAGTAAAAGCTAATGCATTTTAATGCTATTTAAAACTGAAGTATAATCTAACATTTTTAAAAAAGAAATATCCATACTATGTATTCTGTAGATTTTATTTTTATTTTTTTTATTAAAAAAAATTTTTTTTAATGTTTTGATTTATTTTTGGGAGAGAGAGAGAGATAGAATGAGACTGAGCACGAGCAGGGGAGGGGCAGAGAGAGAGGTAGACACAGAATCCAAAGCAGGCTCCAGGCTCTGAGCTGTCAGCACAGAGCCCGACATGGGGCTTGAACTCACGGACCGTGAGATCATGACCTGACCTGAAGTCGGCCACTTAACCCACGGAGCCACCCAGGCACCCCATATTCTGTAGATTTTAAAAGAGTTAGATGTTTTATTGATGGTACATTGATAAATAAATCAATCCAGTGGCAAGCAGTATGCATGGTATGAGTCCATCAATTACAAAAAAAGTGTGTGTGTGTGTGTGTGTGTCTAGGCACTAGAAATGGGTTTTGTACCCCAAACATTAACAGTGGTCACCTATGGAAAGATGGGGGGGGTGAGAGTGGCAGGTAAGTTACACTTCTTTCTATCTACATTTCTATATTATTAGAATTTCATTATTAATAAATGTGTACATCTGCAATTTAAAAAAACTAATAAAAATATCTAAATATCAAAAGTAAAGCTATTGCCACAAACCCCAACCTCCGGTTTATGTATGATCTGCTTTCCAACAAGTTTCTTCATCCAATCCCTGATCACCGTCTCATCATGTAAAGTCATTCTTAAGCAAGTGTGTAGAACTTTCCTCATACCTGATTGTAATAATCTGTCCAAAGTTCAGCTCAAAGTTGTTAACTTGAGCGATGAAAATGGCAGCCAAAGCCTCATAGAGTGCAGTCCCATCCATGTTAATGGTTGCCCCCACTGGGAGCACAAATCTGGTGACTCGTTTGTCCACACCATTGTTCTCTTCCAAGCACTTGAAGGTGATGGGTAGGGTAGCAGAACTGAGAATGGTAAAAAAAAAAAAAAAAAAAAAAAGGTGTGTCAGCTGATCGTCCAGATGGTTTAGACCATGACCCTGTGTTTGGTACTTTGGACAGAGTTCCTTCCTCTCCCATGTCCTAATTTAAAGGGAACTAAGTCAGCACTTGTATAAATAGGGGATTAGGGTTAGCAACAGTGTGGGTCCCCTCACTGGGTTATTTGCAGCTCTCCTGCTCCTGGGTTCTTCTGTGAGGCATCACTTGTGATTATCCCCTATCCTCATGGCCTGTGCCGAGTGACTCTGCCATCTTTCCCTCAGGCAAAGGTCAACTGGAAGAGAGAGATGACAGTGGGCAGGAAGGGAATAGCTGATATGTGTGTCTCCCCAAAGGAGAGCCAACCATTCCCTCAATCCCAACTAGGTCTGATTAGCACCTGAGTGAAAAGGCCAATTCATATGCCTGGAAGTGTAAAACCCAGAACCGCACCCCCTGCCCCCCCATCTGCCTCCCAGGGTTCTGGATTAAAGTTAAGTTTGAGCTACATTTCTTGATAGGAATAAGCCACACATATATCCATACATACCTGGACGAGGTTCCTAGAGCTGTGATGAGTGCCTGCAGCAACCCTCCAATAAAAACCCAAGGGTTTTTCCGAGTTACCAAGAAGTAGAGGAGGGGCAGGACAATGACTGCGTGAATGAGCAGGCCGACGATGACCGTCACCGTGTACATGGCAAGCTGCCCCCCAATCACTCCCATGTCTTCCATCTCAACAATTTTCCCTGCAATCAGGAAGAGGATGCCCAGAGGGGCGTACCTATGTAGAAGCAACATACGCACAGTCGGAAGCCTGATCTCCAATGAGCTATTCCAAAGAAACTACCACGTGACAAGAAAATGTGAGGGTTATTTCCACACTTTTTGTGCCCAGGAGACTATTAGAACTTGCAGAAACTGTGAACTTCTTTTCTTTAAAATAAATTTTTTTATTTTTGAGAGAGAGAGAGAGAGAGAGAAAGGGGGGGGGAGACACGGCGTGAGTGGGGGAGGGGCAGAGAGAGAGAGAGAGGGAGACACAGAATCAAAAGCAGGCTCCAGGCTCTGACCTGTCAGCAAGGAGCTGGATGTGGGGCTCCAACTCATGGACCAGGAGATCAGGACCTGAGCTGAAATCGGATGCTCAAATGACTGAGCCACCCAGGTGCCCCTTTTCTTTTCTTTTTTAAATATAAATTTAAATATAAATAGCGCATAATCAGGCTTTCCTCTCAGAATTTCGCTAGGCCACAATTTTTTTTTTTCTCCTTAGCCTATGATAAAAGACAGGTACAGAGGTTTTGTGGGGTTTTTATTGTTTTTTGTTTTTTGGTTTTTTTCTCACCTCTTTTTCTAGATCATTCTCCTTTCACCTCATCTGAGTCACTTTTTCGGTCCTCAGATGCCACCCAACTCCCCTGCCTTTTCTCTAAGTACCCTGCACAGCCAGAATCCACTGAACCAATATCCAGACTTTGGGAGGGTTTCCCACATCAGAGCCTGCGTTCCAACTTAAAGCAAGACACACACAATGCCATTTCAGTGTTTTAGATTTGCAGTCATCTCTCTTAATCGAAGTCCGTTTTTGTTACTTTTTCCCCATATTACATACCACTTACACTATCACTCAGTATTAGTCTTCAAATCAACTTTTATATAAATTTACTGAGTAAATTTCATGTTATCGTGGCAATGGAAAACTAGTACCATTTCCCACAGATCGAAGGCAACCATATAATCAATCCAAAGCTATTCAAATTAACAATGTGTATGCAGGTACCGCCACGATCAGGTTACAGATGTTCTAGTTAAGTAATTGTCACCCACCCGCTGCTACTGACATTTGTGATCTTCCCCTGTAGCCTGGCAAGAATGAACAAACGAGACACAAAACAACTTGTATGTATAGCAACCCCTGTTGCATCAAGATCCCTCTGCCCTGCTTTCAACTCCCTTTGATGTATGCAGTGAACTATGCCCAAACTCACGTTACCAAAAACAGAGGGGCCAATCACCCTGAAGGACAAGGGTCTGCTGGGAGCTGTGGAGGTCTTATTTCAAGTTGAAAAATACAATGCTTCTTTTAAACGTCCTTTAAAAACACAGGCCAGGAAATTATTAGAGTACCTGTTTTCAGAAATGTAATAACTCAAGGCTGAATGTGCAGGCAAATGTACAGCTAGAAAAGCTACATGTGAGGTTCATTCAGCAGCCTTGAATGGGCTTCTTTCATAAAAGAGGTGAAAGGTGGAGGCATTTTCATAATATGAAGATAAATGTCCACTTTCAGCTCTGCCAGGATTTCAAAGGAGGGGCCCCAGGATTTCAATCAAGGGCTCCTGTGGAGACCACATTCTGATCAGTCTTCGTGCCCAAGTTCACATCCACCTCGTACAAGCTCCTGAAAAATGGATTTCTCTGGGCTTTGGAGGCAATAAAGACAAAGGATATTTTTAATCATGTTGGCGAGGGCTTTTCTTAGAAATGGATGCCTCCGTCCCTCCAGTGCCAAGAAGGAGTCTGGATTAAAAATAAAGGCCAAAGGGAAAGTAACCCCTACATGAGGCCTAAACCAATCAAACGGTTCTCTCCCAGCTGGCAAGAATTTACTTTCCAAGGTCAATGTTCCTTTGCAGATTTAGTGTTTTCATTTGTACCCTACTCTCAACTTTATTTGAAGGAAGTTTTGTTATAAACTGTGGATTGGCATTCTATAATGCTTCCCATGAGTCCTTCAGGCGGTCCACCAAATTGCCATTTGATGTCTCTTTCTTAGGGCTGAAACGGAGGAGAGGCAATCTCACTTTTTCTGAAGGTCAAGGGGCCTCTATGTTTGCTTTTCCCTCCACTGGGAATGCTCTTCCCCTGGCACTTTGAATGGCTAGCTTCTCCTAGTCAGTCAGATCTTAGCAACAAACTCACCTCCTCAGAGGCCTTTGTGAACCATTCAAACCATCCAAGGCAAATTTTATGCTTCTTCCCCAGTTGCCTTTTATCATATCAGATCACACAAAAGAAAATCTGCTGTTTTATTTATTTTTTCACAGTATTTGTTACTAAAGCACATGGTGGATTTGTGTGTTTATTTTCTATGTCCCTTAAAAGAATACAAGCTCTAGGACATCCTCGTCTGTTTTCTTCATTGCTATGTCCAGAGTACCTGGCATTATATGCTTGGCATATAGTAGACACTTAATGAACATATATTGAATAGATATAGACTAAATAGATATAAAATGAAGGAATGAGGAATGGGATCCCATCAGCACCGGAGTGAAGAAGTAGACACCTTTCAAAAACAAGGAAGCAAATTATTAAGAGAGGCTTGCAGACAGGTTCAAGGCCACTACAGGCCCAGAAAATCATTGATTTTCTTGTGTTTACCCACGTGGAATTGTTGCAATTGGCTATCCTGCCTGGTGGCATCTTCCTCAGTACAGAACACATGTTGATGGTAATAAGCATCTGGATACAGCATATGTAGCCAATGGAAATACGTACCACATTATCACTGCTACCAATCTCATGATGGCTTCGTTAAGAGAATCAAAGAACTCTCTCAGGGCTTGCCCCTGCTCTTTCATGTTTCCAATCACAAATCCAAAGCACATGGAGAAGACAACTAGTCCAAGGGCATTGACCCCATTCACAGACCCTGGAACTGGGACCAGCTCCTCTGTGATCCTTGTAAGAGTCTCCATGGCCTCCGACACATTGTTTATCACGGCGCTCACGAGTGTTTCGTTGGACTGGATGGGCACTTTAAAGCTTCTCTTCTCATAGTTGGTTTTAAACTTTAAAAGAAAAGGCACAACAGGGATTAAAGGTGATTTTTGTTTTCTGTTTTTAACTTTTCTGTTGTCCAAATTTTCTATAATCATATACAATACCTTGCACTCAGAGAATAGTGTTATAGAAGGTATCTATCATCTATCCATCTAATCTGTGACGAACCCCTACCAGTTCCTCAGCACAGACAGACACACACGCACTCAAATATAAAGCATATCTTAACAGGAAAGAGGTATGTGGCTGAAGACGTTGAAGTAGGGTTTTTTTTTTTTTGAAACCCTAATAAAATGACTATAATGGGCTTTTAAGAACTATAAATCCAAACATTCACAATAGTCCCTTTACTGTCTATAGGATCATGCTATGGGATCATGGACAAATCACTGAACATCCTTCAGCTCATGTTCTGCAGCTGTGAAACAGAAAGAACTGTGGTGGTTCTACCTCACAGGGTTGTTGTGATGATCAAATCGAGCAGAATATATGAGAATATCTTGTAAATTTTAAAGTACTACACTACTATTGGTTAATGGTGCTTAATAACAAAACCCTTTAGGGACTAGACTTAGCTGGGGATTTCATTGAATAGTAAAAATTTTAAATCCCATATGCACCCCAATGTTTATAGCAGCATTATTTACAATAGCCAAATTATAAAAGCAGCCCATGTGACTGTTTACTGATGAATGGATAAAGAAGATGTGGGGTACATATATACAATGGAATATTACTCAACCATAAAAAGAATGAAATCTTGCTATTTGCAACAACATGGATGGAGCTAGAGGGTATAATGCTAGGTGACATAAGTCAGTCAGAGAAAGGCAAATACTATATGATTTTATTCATATGTGGAATTTAAGAAACAAAATAAATGAACAAAGGGAAAAGAGAGAGAGAGAGAGAGAGAAACCAAGAGACAGACTCTTAACTATGGAGAACAAACTGGTGGTTACCAGAGGGGAGGTAGGTGGGAGGATGGATTAAATAGGTGATGGGAATTAAAGAGAGAATTTATCATGATGAGCATTGAATAATGTATAGAATTGTTGAATCACTATATTGTATACCTGAAACTAATAAACACTGTATGTTAACTAAACTGGAATTAACTTAAAAACTTAACAAAATTTAAAACAATTTAAAAATTCCCCAACAAAGGTCTTCTAGGCACTTCTGATAATATTATTCTTAAGAATAGATGTTTCATTAATAGCTGAGGATGACAACCTAACTCTCAGGTCAATAAAGGAATTTCTCTTCGTATTCAAGATATGGTGTTTTCCTAATAGCTTCTGCATAGATGCCCCAGACAGAAGATGTGAGCATATGATTGTGACCATATAAAACAATTAAGCCCATCCATCTATGATTTTAATGAGAGCAGAATTCCTGGCCTTTGTGTTGATGGTAGTCAAGGATCAGGGAGAGTAATAATGTAAGGATGTTGACTGGTTCTCACAGCTGTACATGAAGTGCTGGGCCATTTCTCTACCAAGAGTGAATGGGAGAGTTTTTTGTCCAATAGGAAACCACTGTTCTCAAACAACGACGGCCAGCTGTCAATACTGTGGACACATCTCTGAACAACCAGTGATACTGCTTGTAATTCTAAGTAACAAAGAAACTGGCCCTTTTTGGTGTCCTATTCCCGTCAACTCTCAAATCTTTATTTCATCAGGATGCTTATGCATTTTATGGATTGTCTAGGGTAGATTTCCAATCCTGGTTAGCCTTTCCTAAGCCTCCAACTCTTTCCCCTTAGACACAGTTTGTAGCCTACAGAAATAGCAACCTCGTTTGCATTCTGGCCTAAGACAAATAGATCTGGGAAGATACTTTTGCTTCCCTTTCAAAATCCTGTAAATGCAATCCCAAACCAAATACAATAAATCTGCTTAAGTCTGCACTTTTTCTGGTGCTGCTAGAAATCAGCATTTTTGATGTTGTCCAGTGCCAGCTGACTAACTGGAATAGTCAGCCCCATGGTGCTGGGGTTGGCTTGTTGGATTGAAAGGGGTTTATTATTTATGGTTATTGTTGGTTTTGAATAAAGAAAGTTCAATTTGGGCTTCTTAAACTTTTTTTTAAAGAAAGGATTCTGTTTGAATCCTGCAGCGTGTGCACACATTACCTATTAAAAATAGTCAACAAAAATTTTAAAAAGTGGGGGGACAAAGGGTTACTTGTATGTGTAAAATTTAGTCCTCCACAAGGCTGGGGTTTTATTTTGTTTGTTTTACAGATAGGGTTAGGGAATTACAACTAGGGTCAAGTAACACCATCTGGAGAAATGTTTTGGAACTATTATTTAACCCAGAATGTCTAAGTGTTTTCCTTTTAATGTTTTGGGCCACAAAGCTTTTTTTATTCAGGTGAAGTTAGAATGAACTTTAATCCCTAGCAGCAAAGTATATTTGTATCCACAACACAGACAGCCAAGAACTGTTTGGATATGGGCAAAAAGGAAAAGGAACTGGACCTCACTATAGCCTCCAGGGAGGTGTCTCAAACCTTTCCAGGAAGCAGAATGTAGGAGCAGAAAGAGGATAGAATTTGGAGTCAGCACAGTAGGTTTGGATTCTGGATCTACCATTTATTACTTGTAAGATCTTGTGCCTATTAGACAATCCTGAATTATCATAGACGAGTTTCCTCATCAATGAAATGAAGACAATGATACCCATCATATTCATGTGAGGACTGAATATAACATTAGTGCTTGGCACATAGAATCCATAAGGCTCTTAGGAGACTTTAAAAAAAACAACCCATTCACTTTTTACATTAAACCCAGAAACTTGAATAATCTCTCTAATGTTTAAAGCAAATTGTAAATGTATCTTCTACTAGAATTTGTTTGCTTGGTGGGCTTTTGTGTGTGGAATGTGGGGACAAGAAGAGGGAGGGAGTCTCCTGATTGGCCTTTTTAACAATTAACAGAGACTGGATGAGCTATTCGTATGCGACACATTTAGTACCTGGTAACTAATAAGCCTTTAGTACAGGGTAAGACCTCCCCACACCCTACAAATCCCCCAGAAAACCCTAGTGCTTTCCGTCTGGTTGGCAAAAGAGTGTTTCTTACTGCAGAGAAATGGAAAAAAAATAAAACAAAATGGATAAGGAGGTCCCACTCTGTTTGGTATGCCAAAGAGGAATTTCAAAAGCGAATTAGTGGCTATAGAGTGTTTACCTGTTTAAAGCAGGCTTCCACCAGATTTGGAGGGAACATATTCCTGCAAAGAAAATAATGGTCACTTGAAAAAGTTCTCAAATAATAAGTTTGTTTCTTAAACACTTTTTCATTGTGTCTAAGGTAAAGATTGTATTGAGCTAAGTAGCATATGGGAAAAAAAGAAAGGTGTTGGTGGATTTTATGTCTTGTAATGGGACATATGGTTATCCCTAAGTGGGGCCCATGTAGTTCATATTTTCCAGGGAAATCTCAAATTCAACTCCTCTGTCCTTTTGTCAGACAATGGGATTTTTCACTTCATCATTGTATCTTCAAATCCCGCTCCCAGGAAGAACTAAAGTGAGAATGGAAACAGCTTTGGCTACACATGTTCTGGTAAACTGAGGTATTATTGAATAGTGGCCATTTTGGTTTTGTGCCATGTGTCCAGGGACTGAATGTTCTGAATCATATGCCATGGTCAGACTGCTGAATTTTGTTCTCTACAGAGTCCTCCCAAAGGCCCTCTGGGGGATGGGATATTTACTCTGAATTACTGGAGCTTCTGAGACTCCTTGGTAACCAACAGGGAGACGGCCCACAAAACTTAAACTTGTGGTACATGTAGCAAAGTTTGTCACTTTCTCAGAGCAGTGTTTGAGTTCATGGTAGAGTTCAAGGGACAACAATCTAGCCGGAGAGTCTCTAACCAGCTGTGTGACCTTGGCCAAGTCACTGCACCTATTCAGGTTTTAGTTGATTTATCTGTTGAAGAGGAGACTGGATTAAGCTATCATTCGGACTCCAAGGTTGAAGACTGTGGGAGGAGACATGGCCCAGGCAGTAGCAGAGCCCGAGATCCCAGCAGTTGTGTGCTATCAAAGTCATATTTTAAGGTTAAAAACTCTAGTCCCTTTCTTCTTACTGCCTAGACCATCCTATTTGCTTTTCCTTCCTATCTATGCTCTGTGAGTCTGTTTTTATAAATCTTGATAGAAATGTGGGTTTGGGAGATTTCAGGAAAAGTGCTCAAGCCAAGTGACTGGGTGGGGATAGGTTAGTCATACACCTGCCTACCAGTGGGGCGGGCAAGGAGAGGCAAAAACACACAGCATTCAGATGGATCAACCAGAATTGAGATGACAAGATCCCAATTCTTTAAACAAGGAGTAGAAATTATACAGAAAGAGAATACAATAAAATACTCCTAACCTACCTAATGGTAAAGTTCATGAAAAAATGGTGAAAAGCCTTAATTAATTTTCTGAACTAAATAAAATCATAGCTATCAGGTAACAACTTTGTATAAAATAATGTTATATAGGATGGCTTCTTACCTTCAGATAATTGTGATTAACTCCTAGAAAGGGCTTTTAAGAAGAGGATCTATGGGGCTGGGTTGTTCTTACAAACAGATGGTACAAAGTCATTCATGGTAGAAATTCAGAAGTGCTGCTGAAGAGAGCCTTTGTTGCTCAAATCTCTGCTAAATCTACCTGCCACAGAGCCATCCCTTGAGATGGCATGTGAAATCAAGTCCCTAGGAAGACTTTCTTTCAGATGATCAACGGGCGACCCTTTGGGGTAGGCATCTAGGATTGGTAAACCAGTCACTTTGTAAGAAAGTTGTATAGTAGGGAGGAAAGGGCCAGGTTTGGGGAGGATAGGTTGGGAAGGCTACATGGTGGAGGAATGCCAAGCAGGTGGGAAATATAGAGGCCTGTGCTGGGGTATCTTCCATTTGTCTTTCTAGACGCACTCTCCATCCTGCTCTGTACTCTGGGAGTCTGGCCCCTTGGGTTGTAGCATGTGGGCTCTCTTGCCTTCCGGCTTCCTTTTGGGTTTGTACAGTGGGATGTGCCGACAGATGACAGGGTAGTGGGACATGGAAGTGGATATGCACATTCTTCAGCTCTCTCTTTGACAGGTTGGGCAGCAGTGCTCTCCCTCTAAATTAGAGCTATCATTCTTGTCACAGGGCCTTTTCCCAAGACCACAGCTCTTCCTGAATTCCTCCCTTTGCCCCTCAGAGCTGGGGTGGCAACAAAACACCTTCCTATTGCCTTCGGTCCCCTGGTGCCTTACCACCCCTTGTAGGCTCCCTTAACCCTGTCTGTACCTTTGCAAAGCCCTCTCAGGGATCCTTTTGAATATGCAATATGCTTCCAGCCAGGATCTGACTGATGCAAGCGAAGGTGTGTAGAGAGAACAAACAGGAAGGTGTCAGGATCAAACCTTGGTTTACTTCACAGTTCTGTGTGAGATGACTCTGCCATCAAGTCCCTTTCAAGAATCAGATAAGACTCATTTGCAATCGGTGTATGGTCTATATACAAAACAATGCCAAAGAAGCCACCCTTTAATCTTTTCTTGCTGCTCTGCCAAATCCTTTCTTCATAAATGGTATAAAAGGAAAACCTTAGAACAAGTATGACCAGATGATCTTTAAAGTCCCTTCTGGACAGAAATTGTTGTGTATAATGGATGATGATACAGATGACAAATTCTAAATTAGAAGAGTCCAATCCACAGGCTATACTTGAACACAAGCTAACCTTAAACAGCAAAACTAGAAAAAAGTAGGTTAAGGCTTATTAATATTCCAAGGTAAGCGGCACAGCTGAAAGGAGAACCGAGGGATCAGAGAACAGAGTGATCAGTGATCAGTGAATCCTCAAAACAGGGCACTCAAAATCTATATCCTGTCTCTGTTCTTCTCACCTCTTTCCCATTAGATCAGAAAATAGAAATTTACTTTAATTTCTATTAGAAAGAAGTAAAGATGTGACCTTCATTGCAAAGCCCAGCAAGGCTGGTTCAGTTAGACACCTGTTTTGTGGTTTGATTAGCTCCCCCAAATGAGGGGTTGGGTGGTCAAAACATACCCAAAGGATGGGCTTGCAAGGACGTACCTGATCAGGTCCAGGAAGGCGTCCGCAGCTGTCACTTGTACAATTTTGCCTTCTCTGTGCATATTTTCCTTTGTGCCCTTCCCGGGGTGGATGATGATGACAATGATTATGCCAATCACCACAGCAATGATGGTCGTAGTCATGTAATAGACTACAGCTCGCATTCCCATCTTCCCTGACGCCTTACTATCTAGGGCCGCCATTCCTGGTGAAGGCAAACAGAAGGAGATTTTCAGGAAGTCAGTCCAAGGAATTCTCCAGTGGAGGGTAACGGAAACAGTATTTCCTTCTACACCCCCCTGCCCTCATTCCACCCGGCAATGGAATTTTACATAAGTTATGAGAACTTGGCATCATTTTTAGTCAAAGCATCATAAAAGGTGAAAAAAAAAGCGCCATAGAATAGCTAGTCATCAGCTGTGTCAGCAAACACCTGATCACCCTTTTCTTGCCTCAAGAGTTGATTTCACATGGCTCTCTAATAATATGAAAGGGACATTAAATTGTCTCCTACGTTATTACTGGATGGGGAGGCTATGAGTGTACATAGCGAGTAGCGTGTGTGTATCTGTAGATGAAGAGTTACTTAGAACAATTTTCTGGCAGGATAACTTGAGCATATTTCAACTCACTGTGGTGTCTCGCAAGGATTAACTGGCACTAAATATTCTTCCAAGAATTATTATTTTATATAAGTACTTGGGAGCTCTTTTTTGATGTCTTTATGCAAAATTGAAGCCATTATTATGATCACCTACTAACTTAGCTTCAACTTGCATTTAAATTAGACATTATGTTATAAAGCCAAAGTTCTCAAACAGTTTCTCTGTGGTTTCATTTTATTTCATCTCATCAAAATTACAAAAAAAAATTTTTTTTTTTTTATTTTGGTAGGGTTCTTCTCATGTTTCCACCTCATCCCCTGGGCATGGAGTACCTCATCTCATGTTAAACATCTTCACCCCCTTGTTTTCAGAACATTCTTCAAAGTCTACCTCAGGCGAGGTGTTATCCTAGGTAAAAAAGGAGGCGTGACTTTCAAGATTTCCCTTACTACTCTAACAAATGGAACACATCTTAATGCCTCTTGGATGGAAAAAAATGGAAATGATACAAACCCCTCAGAAGATTAGATTATAATAATATGAGCTCTTCTGTTTCACTAGTTATTTCCCCACTTTTCTTCTTTCTTTCCCCTCCTGAATCACACTAAAACTCTAAAATCCAATTATAGTACAATCCAATTATAATGAATTGGGCCTATTTTCTTTACTATTTAAAATTGTGTTTTTATAAATTGTACTAAAAGGTTATACTGTATCCCAATGATCAGTATCAGATTCTAATAGTGGTTCAATCTTTAGGTAGTGACCCTGTTCATACCAACATATTTAGAGTAAGGTAAAGTATTGGAAAAAATAGTATCCACAGTTGCCAGATAACTGGCTGGGTTTGCCCAAAAAAACATGATAGAATGGTAATGAGCTGATGTGGGGATTGAGGCCAGAGCTTTCAATTTATAATTTCATTTGTATTTGAACCCTGTTGTTCATAATAAACACTTATTATTATGCTTATGATACATTCTTATTTTTAACAACCACCTGTAACACAGATTTAAAAACACTTAAGTGACTGTCTCAGGTCTTAGTTAACAACAAATAAAATGGAGTGGGAACTTGAACTTTGCTTTTATGTAAATAATCTTCCTGTACCTTCTGCCTCTGAGAAAACCACTTGCAGCTCCCACAAACAACAAGGCCAACTTTGGCTTTAATGCATGAATTTAACTTCTCCTCCCCATGCATTTCAAGAAACCCAGGGCTGAGTATCCATTTATTGAGATGATGCCACTTCAACACATTCACCAACCTTCAAAATGGGCCAATCTGTTCTCAAAGTGTCCCGTCCCACCATTTTCATCCTCAGGTCTGAATCACATCTCAAATATTGTGGCTTCCTGTGCCTGAAATAATTTCTCTCAGAAGGGGCCTGCTCTCTTGCCCATTATAGCCTGAGCTTGTCACCACTGAAGCCTGAAATTCTTCTGCAGCAAGTGGTGTGGGCACAATAGGCCGGATATCTCTGCTAGGGGGTACCAGGCAGCAGTATTTTCTTCCTCTGAGATGCTTTCTTTCCCTCTTGCCTTCTATTCTGTAGTGCTGTTCCGTTCTCACGCCAACGCTTCTCTGACGTTCCTGCCCACTATTCCCGACCTATAGCTATTCAGAGAGAGCGCTAAGTGGTCAAGGCAGAGCACTGGAAACCAAAGTGGCAAACAAAGGAGGGGGCTTAAATCTCCCTCCCTCCCACCATGGGGTAGGGGTTGAAGTTATCCCGGAATCCACAGCTACAAGGCTATCAACTCAAAGAAATGAGTATTATTTATAGGATTTTATTTTTTAATTTAAAAATGAAAACCAATATAAAAGTATTTTCTCCATACTTTTAAATTCTGAAATAGACAACCACCAAGGCATTTTTTTTTAGCAGTGAGCCCAGAAGGAGAATCCACAGTCAAATGAGAGGGCTCACCCTCCTCTGTATATTGGCCCTTTTCCTTTGAAAGAGGATAAAGCAACAGCTGCTATTATTTCAGCCAAGGAAAGAGGGTTGTGTATGTGTTGGGGTGAGGGGAGTGTCTTCATTAGCCGATTCTCCAGGTAGGTCCTTTCCCAAAAGGGGGCTTGGCCTTCCCACCTCTGCCCCTGGTCCTCCATCTCCTCCTCACCACCCACCAGCCCTGACCATTCCCCTTCCCCTGAGACAGGCTTGTAAAACTAAAGGGGACTGGGGACAAGGCCACACACCGTCAGGAGGGCAAAAGCAGGACGGATGTGGACAGTGTGCCACATGCAGGGAATAGCCCGGATACTGGTGGAACCAGGAAAATGGAGGACGAGCTCTGGAAGACAAAACCCAATATGGGCAGTGTCACTCTTCCTCTCCCTTACCCAAACTCTGTGACCATCTCTGTTCCCCAGCCTCCTGAAATCTGAGACAAAGCTCTACATCAGAGACTATACACACATGTCAGATCATCTGGGGGCGAGGGTAAAGTACTAAATCACTTTGTAGAAAAGGAAACTCTGGCAGGAAGTGCCCTACATGTTTGGAAAGGGAAAGTTTTAACTGAACCTTGTCACTTCAAAATATGTGGAAGTAAAAGGCACCAGGGCAAGGGAGACAGGAGGTCACTCGGGTATGTAGGTACTGATGGGACTGTGTTACAACAACTATGCGTTTGTCTAAACATACATCTGAGAAACACATTCCTGAGCAAGTAGTAAAGATAATGATCTCAACTGCTCTCTTTTTCTTCATTAGAGCTGGGTTTAGCTAAACCAGACCCATTCAAGACATCTTTACATCTTTATTATGAATGGCAATTCTGCCATCAGAATTGAGACCTTCTTGAAACCCAAGAAATACTATATCGTACAATTGCTACAAGCACCATGACTGGTCTTCTAATGATAAAGACGTGTTTGTTATGTTTATATGCTTTATATATTTTGAATTAACTTTGGTGCTAGTTCACTAACTTACTCACAAAACCCCACCCCCAATCAATGGCAGACATTCATCTAATTTCATGTCAACTCTATGTTGTAGATGTCGTTGATATCATTCTGAAGGTAAAGATACAGGAGGTCAGAGAAGTTAAGTAACTTGTCCAGTGTTGCATAGCTAGTAAACGGCAGTGGCAGAATTCAAACCCACACTCCCAAGGGATCACTCTTTCCACTATACCTCTCTTCTTTTTTTTTTTTCAATGTTTATTTATTTTTGGGACAGAGAGAGACAGAGCATGAACGGGCGAGGGGCAGAGAGAGAGGGAGACACAGAATCGGAAACAGGCTCCAGGCTCTGAGCCATCAGCCCAGAGCCCGACGCGGGGCTCGAACTCACGGACCGCGAGATCGTGACCTGGCTGAAGTCGGACGCTTAACCGACTGCGCCACCCAGGCGCCCCAACTATACCTCTCTTCTTATGGACAAGCTAGGAGTCACCCACATTTCGTTTGCTTGTTATCCATGCTAGCTTTCTCTAACTCTCTTGCATCTGGGTTCAATGTTGAGATGAGCCAACTGGCTGGAGGAAAATTCTGTAGAGGTAGGTAACTGTGGAGAAACTCTGGCACGTTACTCGGCATTCCCTACCTTAAGAGGAAGTGGGTGACACTGATCACGGAAGGACTAGCTAGAGAATTAATCCATTAGTACACATTTCTCACCATTCCTAGAAAAGCAGCCAAGAGCATGTTCTAATGGAATGTAAAGGGTCATGGATACTTGCTGGCTGTGGGTATGTGAATCTTATTTTCCTTTCTAAAAACCAACCCATCAAGAATCAGCCATCAAGATAGCAATCCATTGATCATTTCTGCCTATTACATGTTCACCAATGAGGTAAGCATCTAAAAGGGATCAAACGAGGGGCTCCTGGGTGGCTCAGTCAGTTGGGGGTCCTACTCTTGATTTCAGCTCTGGTTGTGATATCACGGCTCAGTTCGTGAGTTTGAGCCCTGCACTGCACTCTGCACTGATGGCTCAGGGCCTGCTTGGGATTCTCTCTCACCTCTCTCTCTGCCCCTCCTCCTGCTCGAGCTGTCTCTCAAAATAAATAAATGAACACTTAAGAAAATAAAAGAGATCAAATGAGATGTTTTTCAGAATGTAGAAGATTAAGACTTTGCTTCAGATACCTGAGTATTTTAGGCAGCAGTCACTTTGAACAGAGAGGAAGGAAGAAAAGAGTTTCTTAATGCAAATAGGTAAATACGCATTTACCTCTTTGTTTATAAAGACAGTCTTTTGGTAATCAGTTAACAAACATGCACCAAAATTCATGGTTTTGGGGGATGGAGGGGGGAGGGAGTGTTTCATAAATATGTATGTGGAACTCTATACGTCTATGTTGTAAATTAGATTTCTTTTGGTATATTATTTGGTATGACATCTTGGATAAATGAAGTATGTATAAAGCCAAGTATAAAGGATAACATATAAATAATGTCAATTCTCAAGGCTCTATTATTTGCATGGATTTTATTCTCCCATCTGCTAAAAATCTGTGTCTTATCCATTCATGTGTCTTTTTATACTGCCCCCAATAACTCCTGTCTCTGCTTTTAAAAACTGAAATTTAAGGAAGAAGACTTCTGTGATGAATTGTCTTACTACTCATTCTCATGGTGTTTC